CCCCTCGCGAGCTCGCGCCCCCGCCCAGGCTTTTCCAGAGCTACCCGCAGACCAAGACCTACTTCCCGCACTTCGACCTGCACCCGGGCTCCGCGCAGCTTCGTGCGCACGGCTCCAAGGTGGTGGCCGCCGTGGGCGACGCGGTCAAGAGCATCGACAACATCGCGGGCGCCCTGTCCAAGCTGAGCGAGCTGCACGCCTACATCCTGCGCGTGGACCCGGTCAACTTCAAGGTGCGCGCGGCGAGGGGAGGGGCGAGAGGACGGGAGCCGGACCGGAGTCCCGGCGGGAGGCGGGGCGGGGCTGAGAGGGTGACGGGGCGGGGCGGAGCCGGGAATGGGGGCGGGGTCTGAGCTGGAGCCGCTGACCTGGACGCCTGGGTTCCCTCACCCCGCACCGCGCGCTGAGCCTTCCTCCCCCCCAGCTCCTGTCCCACTGTCTGCTGGTCACCGTGGCCGCGCGCTTCCCCGCCGACTTCTCGGCCGAGGCCCACGCCGCCCGGGACGGGTTCGTGTCGGTCGTATCCTCAGTCCTGACCGAGAAGTACCGCTGGGACCCCAGGACAGGCCGCGACTCCGCCCATGCCTTAGAGAGCGCCTAGATCTCGTTGACCCCGTGATTCGCCAATAAACGAATCCACGTCCACGTCGTCTCTCTAGTCCCCGGGGCCGCGAGGGGTTGGGCGGCGGAGGGTTTCTCGGCTGCCTGGGGGTCCCTGGTGGGCTGTGAGAATCTGTTGCACCGAGCCCAGGGTCTCTATGAGGGCAGAGGGATGTGCATCTCCCAAGGGGTGGAGAGCACTCGGGGCCAGGCATGGCGGAGAAAGGCCAGTTAGGCCTTTACTTCTAGGCAGTGCTGGAGCTAGCTTGCGCCCCAGCTCTCTTGCGTCTCTCCTTGGTGCTCCTTCTTCTTTCTCCCGAATTTGAATTATTTCCTCACTTAGACATGACTAGAACGAGGAGGAGAGTGATGGATGTTTGCGTCCACTCATTTATTCTTCCATTCTTCAATTAAACAACACATTTATTGGGTACATAAGACAGCCCAAGCATTTTTTTTTCTAGGCCACGGATACAGCAGCTAAAATAAACAAAGCCCCCTACTCCATGAGACAGTCTACTGGGGGATACAGATCTAATTTATACAGTCAGATCAAGTAAATGAAAGGAAAAGAGATTGAACCTCACTCATAACAAGAAAAATGCAAATTAATACTACTCAAAAGATAGGCTGGGTGCCAAGGCTCACCCCCCAAATCCCAGTGCTTTGGGAGGTCTCTTGAGCCCAGGAGTTCGAGGCTGCAATGAGCTATAATTGCACCACTGCACTCCATCCTGAGCAACAGAGTGAGGCCCTGTCTCTAAAAAAATAATAATAAAGAAAAAATCTACCCAAAAATAAAACCTCACTGAGATTCTCACCTACCTCATGAGCAAAAATCCAAGTGTCTGCAGGCGGCCTCTGCCCTACCAGGGGCACTCCCTTCATCCCTGACCAGAAGGAGCCTGGCATGGAGGAACAAAATGACTGGGACATCTTAGTTTGCCAATGACGAAAACCCAAGTGCTCGTTATTAGGGACTAACTAAATACATCATGAATATCCACGCAATTTCAGAATTGTGGACTGAAAAAAAATGAAAATTATTTCTAATAATGGGTGTGCAGTGGTGTCCAGGATTCATTAAGTGAATAAGAGATAGAATGGTGTACATATAGTGTGGTAGCTTTTCTGTAAGAGCAAGGAGGAAGCAAATATGTGCATGCACATGTGAATATATGCATAGCTCTGTGTGTATGCGTGTATATGTCTACATATATGTGTTTATTTTTGCAAAAAGAAACCATAAGAGTATAAACTGAAAATAAATATAAATGATAAGATGGGGTAGAGATGGAGAGGAAAAGTGGAAGGAAGCTCCTCCAAGTCAGATTCTATGTAGTTTTGACCTTTGAATCATGTAAATATTTTATATCATCAAAACTAAAAATAGGACCGGGCATGGTGGCTCACGCCTGTAATCCCAGCACTTTGGGAGGCTGAGACAGGAGGATTGCTTGAGTCCAGGAGTCTGAGAACAGTCTAGTCAACATAGCAAGACCACATCTCCACAAAAAAAGTGTAAAAATTAGCTGTGCGTGTACCTGTAGTCCCAGCTACTCGGAAGACTGAAGTGGAAGTATCTCCTGAGCCCAGGAGATGGAGGCTGCGGTGAGCCACTCCACTCCAGCCTGGGCAACAGAGTGAGACTCCAACTCAAAAATAAAGAAAGAAAGAAAAACAAAACTCCAAAATGGAAAACCAACTTAAATAAATGAACCTGTGTAAAAATGTAGTGATATAATCACCAGAAAAAAGAATTATTCCAGGTGACTTCTGAACACAGTGCCTTGGCTATGACTGAAATAACTACAAAGAAACCCTGCCATTCACTTGTTTATTGTTTGTAACAACATATATTTATTGTTTGTAATAACATATACATTGTAATTTTGTAACCCTTTACTTTGAAACATTTTCCAACTATCAAAAAAACCCTGTAAGAACAAAACAAAGATGGAAAAATAGGAATGACTTCTGGGTTTTGTTTTTGTTTTTGTTTTCTTTGAGTTGGCATCTCACTCTGTCGCCCATGCTGGAGTGCAGTGGCACACTCACGGCCACCACAACCTTGACCTGCTGGGCTCAGGCAATCCTTCCGCCTCAGCCTTCCTAGTAGCTGGAACTACAGGCACGCGCCACCACATCCAGCTTATTTTTTGATGTATTGTAGAGACAAGGTCTCACCAAATTGCCGAGGCTGGTGTTAATCCGCTGAGCCTAGGCAATCCTCTTGCCTGGGTCTCCCAAAGTGCTAGGATTATAAACTTGAGCCATCGTGCCCAGTAGTATGGGTTTTTATGGGGGGTGATGAAACATTCTAATATTGATTATGGTGATGGTTGCACAATTCTGTGAACTTATTAAAACCCATTGAAACGTACACATTCAGTAGGTGAATTATATGGCATGTGAATTATATCTCAGTAAAACTGTTTCATAAAATAATAATACAAAATATTCCCAAATACCCCTCATCCAAATTCCCCGGTTGTTAATATCCCGCCACACTTGCCTTATCTCTTTCTCTTTTGCCCTCACTTGCACTTTCTGAGCTGTTCAAGAGGAAGAGGCAGACAGTGGCACCCTAAACACTGTGTATACTTCCTAAGATCAACAAGTACACTAGACTGCATAGCTAGAAAACAACGACCAAAATCAGGTTACCCTGAGCTATGACTGAAATAACTGCAAAGAAACCCTGCCATTCACTTGTTTATTGTTTGTAATAACATATATATTTATTATTTGTAATAACATATATACTGTAATTTCACAACCCTTTACTTTGAAACATTTTCCAACTATCAAAAAAAAACCTGTAAGAACAAAACAAAGATGGAAAAATAGGAATGACTTCTGGGTTTTTGTTTTTGTTTTTGTTTTTTTGAGTTGGCATCTCACTCTGTTGCCCATGCTGGAGTGCAGTGGCACGCTCACGGCCACCACAGCCTTGACCTGCTGGGCTCAGACAATCCTTCCGCCTCATCCACACATTGTCCCTCCCTCTCTTCAGTAATGTCCTCTACCAGTCCAGGATCAAACATGACATTCCATCCCCTTCAGTGTGGCTCTTCAGTCTTTCTTTGCACGATTCTAATAATTTTTTTTGTTAAGAGATGGGGGTCGGCCTTGGTGGCTCAGCCTGTAATCCCAGCACTTTGGGAGGCCAAGGCGAGTGGATTGCCTAAGCCCGCGGGTTCAAGACCCACCTGGGCAATTTGGCAAGACTTCATCTCTACAATAAATCAAAAATTAGCCAGGCGTGGTAG